TCTGTGATCATTGGGAGGATGACAGCATCACATATGTCCATGTTTACCTCTGTGTGCTGAGAGATGCTTTCACTGACCTTTGAGTCCAGTGTAGGAAATATTTCCATCAGCTTCTGAATGAATTCATCCTTCTCCCTCTCAGATTTGATCATCTGTCAGAAATAAAGACAGATGTTGATGTTTCTGCAGCGCTTTGTTTATAAAAGTGACAAAATTATCGAAGCTTCACACTGTGAGCAACATGTTTCCAACCATTGTGTCCTCTTACTTTAATGATACAGACTGTACATGTTTTATTTATTATTTGTCTGAAAAATGCTAACTTTCTGCTCCCCACAATTCCTGTCAGGAGTTCCAGCTTGTCTCTGTTTGAGGGGGTGGGGACTAATAAGTGTATATTTCTGCCTACTCCTTTTCAAACAAATGAATGGAATGATATTTTGTAATGATTGTGAATGCACATGTTTAAAATAAAAAAATGAACTGAACTGTACTTCAACTGAGAGGGCGTCGTAGATGCCGTGTAAAATGCATTGGCTTATTAGTGAAAATGAAGGCTACCTTGGCATGATTTGCAAAAACACTTCATGCTATCCCGACTGGATTCGATTACTGGTGTTCTCTGTAAATGGCTTACACCTCTTGTTGGGTTTACTACAATAACCCCACGCCAGCATCCTCCCCTTCCTCACAGGGTGAAGTAAACCCTCAGAACCTACGGCTGATAGGTCGGGCATCCACATCAGCCGCTGAGCCACTGGTACCACTAAGTCTCGTTAATGCTTGATCACTAGCAAAAAAAACGTAAAAGTTTTGTTAAAAATAAATTCTTAATGACTTCTTGACTAATCAGGAACTGGATCAAAGCTTGTGAGAGCCGCTGAGTCTGTTTTACTGAACTTTTACCTTCAGACTGTGAATATCTTAACATGTCGACGATAAGTAGGCGTGGTGGTGGAGTGGCTGCTGTTTTTAGGAAGAAGCTCACCTGCAAATAACTCTTAAGTGACTCTTAATAAAGTTTTGAACTTCTGATGTTGCAGCTGTATACACACCTTCAAAATATCACAAGGATTTTATTCTACACTTTTCAACCTTTTTAGCTGCTATC